CCCCCCTCGTATTTTTACTTACTAGTGATGCCAAGAAGCTCCAGCAATCCGACTAATGGTATTTTATCACCTCACAAGCCGTGAAGGTTAATTACATGAAGTGTGTGTAAAAAAGTAATAATGATTGGCCAGCGCATCGACTGCAGGTGCGAAAATGCGTTTTTTGCATAGTTCCTCGCAGGTTTTTGTCACTAACGGCACTGTTTTTTCCGGCAGATACTTCTACCTAAAAGAATTGAGACTAGCCGCCAGGACTGTCAGAGGAAATACCTTCAAAATTCCAGCTGTCTATTTTTCCTGGTTCCCGAGTTAACAACTTACTCGCAGAAAACTTCACGGGCCTGTACATGGAAACCACGCGTACCCTTGGGCTGGATTTGAAATCATTAAAATCTACGTGGACGGGGAACATCTGTTTAAAATTTCAGCTCTCTAGCTTTTCTGGTTTCCGTGTTAGAAGCGTGTCCCCCAGAAGCTTTGGCGAGCCCGTACGTGGGTATCACGCGAGTAAGAGTGCCCACTTTGGGGATGGGGACCCAAATATGCTTGTAAATTAAGTCCCCAAAGTTCCAACCCTGTAGCTTTCGAAGGTCTCGAAATGAAAAATCTGTACAGGCCAACACAACACACACACAGACAACCTTTCGACAGTATGCGTTTTTGCATTACACAGATGCAAAAAACGCATAATAAATGGATGCTGGACATATGCTATCGTTTGCTTTCGCCTTACCTCAAGCAATCCTGCAAAATATATAATGTACAAAATTAATGCGGCCCTGAATTAAGCCTACCGGATTGTCCAATCTACTGCAAAGCAGCAGCATAAATTAATCCAAAACAACAGTACAGAGTCACCACACTGAATTTGTTCAACGTGTCACCACTGGCATATACTGAACAAAAGTATGATCAAAGAACACCCGGAGGTTGCCTAGAGGAGAAAGAGAGCCTAAAAAGTGTTTTTGATGTGCACTGTCATCGAAATTTTATTTTATACGTACGCAGTGTTACGGTTGCAGAAATATGTCTCGGCTCAAACTTGGTATGTGGCACTGTTAAATGTGTGGAGACCAGCCATTTCATGTACTACTACGCGA